CTCTCTCTCTCTCTCTTTCTCTCTCTCTAATGCAAGTGACTACATGTATTATAGAGCAGGTTCGAATGCACAATCAGGGAAAAAGATTTAATTTGGTTATGTCCCTTGATTCTCTCTTTCATCCACTTTCACTCACTCATTCCCTCTCTTAGACTATCTTTCCCTTCGTTTAATGACCAAGATCTACGGTTTACTCTTGCCTAGATCCGTGGTGGTAGAAGCAACTCTTAAATAACATTTTTAATAATCTTGAAATAGAGAATTCAGTTCCGATCAAAAAGTGCCCCTTTAAAAAGTTTGTGTATGATTTGAATTTGCGGTTTTCTTTAAAAGGCGTTAAAATCCCGAATTCAAGTACATGTAACGTGCTCCCCCCCCTCCCCCCACCCCAAAAAACAAAACAAAACAACAAAAACAACAACAACAACAAACACACAAAAAACAACGAAACAAGCAAAAACAAAAACAAAAAACAAAAAAACAAAAAACAAAACAAAAAACCCACCAAATAAAAACCCACAATATTATTATAGTATCTTACAGTATCTTGGTCTTATCTTTTCGCCCGTCTGTTTAAATTTTCTTACATCTACTTATTGTATTCTTGTCTCTTTTGCCGTCTATTTTTTTCCCAGAGAGAGAGAGAGAGCATGACCTTAATTATGTCGAACTGCATTTAATCTTTTCCTTTAATTTAGTTTCTTTAGTGACTGTCCTACGCTGTCTTCTTTTAGCACCGGAGTTATATATTGATTTTTTTTTCATTCTATGAAATTCTCGACTTCCCTTTCATCTAGAACATTTTCACATTTTTTAGTAACTATCACTATCAGCCGTCACAGCAAGGCTATAGGCCTATAGAAGTGTTCACCACACATACCTTTTTTATAAACCCAATTTTTTTTTCAATAAGATGTTGCTATTTTCAGAATTTGAATCATTTTATGGAATCTATCTTCAGCAATATATCAGTTCTTAGTTTTATTTCAAAGCCACATTTACGAAAAGACATTATTATGTAGGCTACTGTACCCTAGATTTAAACTTTGAACTTGTCTGACCTCCGAACCTTGAAATCAAACACGTCGAATCGGTTGTGATATCACGTCAAAACGGTCTGGTCCCGACTTAATCAAACTATTCAGTGTGCACTGTGCTCAAGAACACACCAATGCCTGTC